GCCGTATCCCGGTCTAATACACACGCCGCGTATCAACAGTTCCGTCTCCACGTACCCGCATCATTACGACGTCGTAAAATATTGTTGTCACCGTCGAGTGAGATATTATATATACATATACACTTTATATTGTATTTGTAACTAGTACTGTGAGTAATAAAGATATATTAAATACCTATAATATGTTTGTGAATATCCGATTTCATTTTATATAAAACCGCGTGATAACCATTACTTGTAAATATATATATGGAGAGATATTCAGATATACCAATGTATAAAATGTCGTTTATTATCAATAAAAATCTTTTGTTAATGAAAACTGAATTCTCAGTGTTATAAATTCATTACAAGGTTTGACAAAACAGTTTTATATATAGCTATGATTTAACCTTAAAAATTAAAAATGTTTGTACATTTAAATGGATATTAAATTATTTTGAAACAATGTTTAGACAAATCAATAATTTTCTCTTAATCTCTATAAAATTACTCAAAACCTTAAAAAATGTATTTTGCATAATTGCTTACTCTATATGAGTCAAAGAGAGAAAAAAAATAGTGCGCTGACATCCTCTTAACTATGATAAAAGATACATATTTTTTTATACACTACAAATTTGTTATTTGTGTTTTAATGAAACAAGTATGTTTAAAATAGAATTCACTTATTCGCTGAGTAAATTGTCTCTTACGGTATTTTTACTATTTTAACAACATTATTTATGTAATACATAGGTAGTTATTATAGTACTACGTTGTGACATAATCAATATTTCAAGAGTGCTCAATAGTTAAACAAAAAAAGTGAAACACACTCAATCACCCGATAGCTGATAAAAGTTAGTATAAACCATAAAGCACTTGCTAATTGTATATGAACTACGTGCATCAAACTACATAAGGTTACGCATTTTTAAATCAGTGCTAACTGAAATATATTCATATTACTGTTTGAAATAAACAATGTTCATTGAACATGCTTTAATTACAATTTAGTAAGTTTATTTTATAAAATATTATTTTTTATTAGAAAATTTTTTTCAAAGATCAATAATTAATGTTTTTCATATTTTACACGAATACTGGAGTACGTATATTATATTAATTACATTTTATATATTTTATCATAAATGTCATACATAGTGCCTGCAATTTAAAAAATCTATGTTTGTATATTACTTAATTAAAAAACACCTCATGAGTTATGAACTATAAATAAGTATTTTATAAATTACATAAATATACTGAACCTGAGTATTAATGTTCTCAAAATATTTAGAATCAATGATCGGTTTTCACTTTTGACAACCAAAATAAATTTGTAATTTATTCGTTTTGTTGTACGTTTCAATATATTTTTTCTTTCACAGATTTCTATATTCATAATTTATAGAAAACTTATATTCGAAAAATGTATAAAATATAGAATTCTACAGTTTTTAGACAAAAATAATTTCTTCTCAAAAAATCAATTTGGATTTTTAAAAGGTAAATCAACTAATGATGGTTTATTTCTTTTAAATCAATTTATACATGACAAATTAGATACTGACTCTAAGATTCTAGGATTGTTTCTAGATGTTAAAAAAGCTTTTGATAGTGTTAATCATAAGTTACTTTTAAAAAAACTTTATTACTGTGGTTTAAGAGGTAAAATGTATGATTTATTAAAATCCTACCTATCTAAAAGAATTCAAATAGTTAAATTAAAAAATTCAGTAAGTACATCACTTGATGTAACGCATAGTGTTCCTCAAGGCACTGTTCTTGGCCCTCTATTATTTATTATATATATAAATGGTCTTTTAAATATCAATTATATAATTTGGTATGCAGACGGTACAGCGATATTAGTTCATAGTAGTTGTTGCCGCCCTAAAGGCGATAACTATAATATCAATTATAATTAATGCACTGACCGGCTCCACACGCACATACGCACACAACACACCTTATTGTTTATTTTTATATGTAAATTGTGCCATCTGTGAATTATTCATTATTATATAAGAGATAAATGCAGATTGTACAATTATGCGATACGGCCGGCGTGGAAGATAAGCACGGCCGCCGCAGTCATCCCTCACCTGTGTGAACGGCAAGCCGTGCCATAATTGCTCTTATTACCAGGCGCGAATCGCCACTTTTTATTATAGTTGTTTAGGCGTGAATCGCCAGTTTTTTATATATTATTATTGTATCGTGGGCGTGAATCGCCATTTATATTATCGTTCACTATTGCCAGACGTCAATTCCCACTTGTTTTTATATTATTATTATTTGTCAGCGCAAGGTGCGCGTTTTATTATTGTCATTATTATACAGCACAGGTAGTGGCTGGCCAGCAGAGCACCGGCAAATTGTGAGTTTTTTATTATTTATTATTTTTCCCAGTTGAGTGTTGGGCCAAAAGGGCCATATAAAAAAGGTTAGATTGTGAGTTGTTTAACCATTATTATTGAGCATTTATCATATCTTATTTAATTCCTTAAACTCGTGTTGATATTTATTTTAGTTTAAGCACACACATGCATACATACACATATTATACACACCCACCACACACTAGCATTCGATAGTCTTGCTCGGCGAACCCGTCCACTTCTATCGAATTGCATACACAATGTATATCAATGTATACACACATAAACAGGTCGGTCGGTGTGTGAGAGCATACAAAACATTTGGTGACCGGGCATCACGGCCTATTATTGTCCGTTCCCGGCCCTAACAGTAGTAGTACAGAGTCTTTAAATATAAAAGCAAACAATGTTATTAAAGATTGTTTTGATAATAACTTATTAGAATTAAATCTTGATAAATCTAAATGTATTCACTTTAATATTAACTCAGTATAGTTAATAGTCCAGAACTAAATATATGCATACATTCATTTAAATTTCAATCTGGTATTTGTGATAATTGTGTTATTCTAAAGAATTCTAATTATTTTAAGTACTAAGGCCTCACCTTGGATTGTAAATTTAAATGGAATTACCATATTAATATTCTTACAAATACTATTCGAAAAAATATTTATGTATTTCATGATTTGAGACATATATTTAATACTGATATGAAACGTATAATTTATTTAGCTTTAGTGCAATCTATTTTGTGTTATGGTATTGTGTTTTGGGGACAAGCGTATGAGTATATTCATTCTTTAAAGTTTAAATATTACTTTAAATAATGTAATTCAATTTATATTCAATTTACCAAGGCTTACCAATAATGAATTTGTATACAATGTTTTAAATCTACTTAATATTAGATGTTTATATAATAAAAACTTATTACTCACATATCATAATTTTAAAAATAATATTGTTAATATTGATCATATTTATAATACGCGTTATAAAACTAATATTAATCTATATGTTCCTCTATACCATAAACAGTTTGGCATTAAAAGTGCTATTTCAATTGCAATCAGATTATGTAGAATACTTTAAATAAATATATGTAATTTTAAAAATGTAAAAGAATTGAAATTGTACTTAAAAAATGTTGATCTTTCACAAATAGATTTATGATTATCTATAATTAACATATGATGTAATTATGAAAATTTTGTTTTAGAAATATATATGTAAATTATCAATAATTGAACTCAATTAAAACTACCCATCACAAGCTATGCTTATAGGGGAGTTGCAAATCTTTGTAATTTATCTTATATATACCTATACTTTTGTACTGTCCTTTTTGATTTGCGTAATATATACTATTATTATTATTATTATTATTACTTAAGGATAACAGCCTACAATATGGAAGCAAGAAACAATTATAAATATGGAATCAAATCTACTTTAGCTCAAGTAATTTTTTTAAATTAATTCAAATCCTGCTCCTAGGTTCAGTGTTTTAAAAAAAGTTATTAAACAATTATCGTGCAAATAGTAAAGTGAGTATTATGGTTATATTTACAACTGAAAGGACACATAATTTTTAATTGCAGTGTTGGGCGATATCAGGAGTTTGGTTATTGCAAACTGAACTCGGCATACAAGTCATAACATCTACAATAGTCATAGGAGCCTTGGCAAACAATACGTCTATAAACGAAAATGAATTTTCTACTATAACTAGTGAAGAAGCGTCTTGGTTCGGTAAGTATATCAACAGTCGACAATCCGTTGAACTCGAATACTCAAAGTGTGTACTCTATTCACCTTATACCCTATTGACTTAATAATAAGTTAGTGGGATATTACATTGTATAAAATTGTTAATTCAAATACAGAATAAAAAAAGATATATGTATATAAATCGTTATCGTCACGTCGATGATAAATTGAAAGATCATTGAACAATAAATAATTATATGATGCTGGTATTTTAACTTTAAGGGAACACACTTTGATTCGCGTCCGAATAGGTATTATATAAAAAGTCAAATTAATGCATCCGAATAAATTATTGTCACCTATATTTTGTTCTATTTAATACTAAAAAATTAACTAGTTTAAGAAACAAATTCTTTTTTCTTTTTTGAGGAACAATGAAATTAATAAATCCTTGTTTTTATAAGAACGAAAAACAGAACGAATTCCTTTTCATATTAAATATTGCATAACATTTCAGGCAGTCTGGCATATTTATTCACACCTCTGGGAACTGCTTTTTCTTCTCTTTTGCTAGACCGTCTTGGTCACAAGAAGTGTATGATACTGACAAACATACCGTGTCTAGTAGCTCAGATCATATTGTATTTCGCCAAAAATGTAGAAATGCTGTACGCCAGCTCAATCCTAATGGCACTGAGCATAGGGTTTCTAAACTCCCCGAGTCTTGGATACACCAGTGAAGTGAGCGAGCCGAAACTAAGAGGCACCTTGACTTCTTCAATAAACATATTTTACTATATGGGAACTATAATATTGACTACTTTGTACAGTATAACCAAGCAATGGAGATTAACAGTGATAGTGTCCATGGCGTTTCCAATTTTGACCATTATTATATTATTTAGGGTAATTGGGAATCTACTCGATCGGTATGGCCTATGTAGGTACTGAATGATAATCATCCAAAACCATAATATGTTGTAGGTACCAGATTCGCCGATGTGGTTATTGGCCAAGGGAAAACATTCAAAAGCACATCGAAATCTCCGCAGATTGAGAGGAAAAGCATCGAATGAAAAATGTGAAAATGAATTTCAAGAAATGGTTAAATACAATGTGCCCGTTAACAGTGACAAATCGAGTAATACTTATATATTTATAAATAATGTTTCCGTGACATGCATATATTATTTTATTTGTATTTAAGTTCATAAAAAAAATACAAATTCTTGGAAACAACTTTTGGAGCCTGAAGTACGAAAACCATTTTTTTTAATGATGCTGTGTTTTTTCTTTAAAAATTTGATGTCTGGATCACAGTTCTTTCCATATCTAGTATCAATATTCAATAAATTTGGAGCACCTGCTAACGTCGAATGGACAATTGTAAGTTATTTAGCCAAATCGGTTTTGATTTTTGAATTACCTATATTTTTAATCGAAAACGTAAATTAAATGCTTTGTACAGTTTTTCTAATGCATGAAATTGTATTTTCAGTCTTTCATGATGGTTCTTTCTGCAATAGGAAGTTTAATGGCAGTTTTTCTAATACGTATATTAGGCAAACGATTTCTTGCGTTATTTTCAGTATCGGTTTGCTCCATTTGCTATATAGCTATTGGATTAATCGGTGTTTATTGGACGAATGCGAAACCAATAACCTCTTGGATAGTACTTATACTTTTTCTTATTATTATTTTAATATCATCGGCTGGAATAACGCCAATCTCGTGGGCACTTGTCACTGAAATATTTCCTGCAAAGTGAGTTAAAATAAATGTACTTAAAATACAATTTAGGTACTTCACATTAATATAGTTAGGTATGCAAACATTTTTTTTAAGAAACAATTAAGAACTTATTCATATATAACACTGAACTTTTAAACTAACTTTTAGAGGTTATGCATGTTTGAATATTTTTTTATGAAACCATATTTACTTTTCTAATAATATGTAATTAATTATTTTCCACTCCTATATTAAACTAAAGGAAGATTATTAAAATATTTTATAAATAGTTCTTAATTTGAAGCTTTGAGTTGCTTAAAGTTGTGGATTTATTACTTCGTGTATTTATTACTTCGTGTATTTTGTTCTTTACTAATGTAACTATTATATTTCGTGTATAATTTTAACTATACAGAATTATAATTTTATTACAAATGTACGTGTTATAAAATCATACAAAGAATATTACTACATAAAGTCATAATATTTAAGTTCAGGTTAATAGATTTGTTCAAGTGATTAATTGTAACTTCATGAAAATCAAAAATATATTTTTAGTATGTATTCCTACTCTAGTTATGAATTATATTAGATATTTTCAGCTTTTAAATTTATTTTTTATTATAAATCATAACATTTTGTTTTTGATTTTGATTTCAGGAGTAAGAACATTGTATGCAATATTAGTACAGCATATTTCTATGTGATGACCTTCTTCTTGACAAAATATTACCCAGATTATTCAAATTTAGTGGAATTTTATAATGTATTTACTATAAATGGTATAGTTGGTTTATTTAGCTGTATTTATTTCTATTTCTGTTTACCAGAAACTGAAAACAAAACCTTACAAGAAATTTCCGAGTTTTTTTAATAGAATTTTACCCTCAGATATAAGTTTTTTTATTATTAACAATATCGCTGTGAGATTTGGGCTAATAAAGACCACTTCAGTAAAATATTTTTGCACACTTTAAATCTAATTTTTTTTTTTGTGATTGTTAAATTATATTATGGATAGTTCAAATAACTTACGTTTTTGTGAAGTATTTACAGTTATCAGTTATTCTGTATTACGGCAAAATACCAAAACCGTTTGTAATTGGATTTCTTTAATTTACCAATGATCATCAAATATCGTAACATTTTTAAATTCAGACCCTCATAAACCATTAATGTTGTCTTTTAGAAAACTTTTTGTTTTAAAGGTAAGACAATTTTTGACAAATTGTTTAGTATTAAGTATAAAAATTAAAAAATGTATATGATTTTTTAATTGAAAAATACATTTTCAGACTTTCGAGATTTTGATTTTTGATGAACTTTTTCAAAATTTGTAATTTAAATGCATATAATAAATAATACTGCCTATGTATCTTTATTATTATTTTTTAACTGATATTAAAACATTTTATGGGAACCAAAACATTCAATTTTCAAGCTTTTTATACAAAGTGAAAAAGTTTTTAAAAATTTTTTTGTAAAATTCGAATAATTTGTCACGAATATTAAATATTATGGTATAATAATGATTATAATAATAATAATTGCACTCAACGATTTAAAATATTTCAAAAATTGTACATGTGTGGAGGTATTCTAAGCTATTACAATTGAGCACACGTAGTTTTTAAAACTACATGTATGTCTTCAAACTATTAATCCACTTAATCTTTTAAGTGGATACTGCCGAAATGTTTGTTTAATATTTTACTGCAGTCATTAGAAACATAGATGAAACGTATTCACGTAAAATCGTATTTTACGATTTTTGAGTAATCTTAGAGTTGAATAACATAGGTATATAAAAATTATTATAGAAGATAATAATTTTTAATGTTTGACATCGATTTTATATTTTGTTATTATTTGTCTTAAAAAAAAAAATAATAAAAAATGTTGTACATTTAAATGGATATTAAATTCTTTTGAGACAATGTCAATATTTTTTTCTTGTTTTCTATACAATTACTCAAAAACATAAAAAAAAAATTATGCATAATTGCACATTGTACATAAGTCAAAAAGAGACAACAAATAATGCACTGACGTCCTCTTAACTAAAACAATATAAGCTACTAAAATATAATAAAAAAAATTGGCATTAATTTATTCGCATTTGTGTACTAATGGAATAAATAATAAATAATTTGGAAGTATGTTTAAAATAGAATTCACTGAGTGTATTATCTGTAATGATACTTTTATTATTTTAATAACACAATTTATGTGATCCATACTTATGTATTATAGTACAAGTACAACGTTGTGAAATAACACAATTTCAAGTGTGCTCAATCATTAAACAAAAAGAGTAAAACAAACTCAATCATCCGATAGCTGATAAAAGTTAGTATAAACTTTAAAGCACTTCATGTTTGTAGATGAACCTACATGCATCGAACGACATAAGATAACGTATTTTTAAATCAGTGTCAATGGAATTATATTCATATTAACAGTTTCAAATTAACATTCTATAATATATTACAATTTAATAAATTTATTTTAGACACTATTATTTGTTGTTAAAAATGTATTTCAAAGATAAATAATAAATATTTTTCATATTTTACACGAGTACCGTAGTATGTCTATTATATTAACTAACAATACATATTTTTCTCATAAATGTCATACAAAGTGCCAGTTTACAAAATCTACGTATAAATAAAAAAAAATAAATGTTACATTATTTTAAAATACACCTCATGAGTACTATAAATTAGTATTTTATAAATTATATAAATAAATTGAGCCTGAATGTAAATTATATTAAAATATTTAGAAACCATGATCAGTTTTGACTTTTTGCAACAAAAATTAATTTGTAATTTGTACGTTTTGTGGTTTAGTATGAAATGTGTTCCCTATGAAATTTATAGATATATATATATTAATATTAAATTATTTTCTCATAATACTTGTATTGTGTTAAAAATTAAAGTAGGTACCCACCTAACTAAGAAATAATAAAATAGAACACTCTATTCAGTATATAGTTACTAGTATTTTAAAATATTAAAGGGGAGTCTGCCATTAATCAACTTCAAATTTCATCAACACAAAACATATTAACCAATAAAACATATTGGCAATTTTACGTTAGCTAGTAATTGTTCTTAATGTATTCTACAATATATGTTTTCTTTTACAGATTCTTTACGTTCTTAATTTGTAGAAAACTAAAGGATAATTCTATACAATATGGAAGAAAGAAATAATTATAAATATGGAATCAAATCAACTTTAGCTCAAGTAATTTTTTTTAATTAATTCAAATCATGCTTCAAGGTTGAGTGATTTAAAAAAAGTAATAAACACTTAAAGTGCAATAAATTAAGTTGGTATTATAATTTTATATACAACTGAAATGACACATAAGTTTTAATAACAGTGTTGGGCAATATCAGGAGCTTGGTTATTGCAAATTGAACTCGGCATACAAGTCATAACATCTACAATAGTCATAGGAGCCTTAGAAAACAACGCGTCCATAGACAAAAATGAATTTTTGACCATAACTAGTGAAGAAGCGTCTTGGTTTGGTAAGTATATCAACAGTCGACAATCTGTTAAACACGAATGCTCAAAGTGTATAGTGTATTCACCTTACACCTAACTTAATAATAAGTAAGGAGGATATTACATTTTATAAGTAATGAATCAGTGTTTGGGAGCAATGAGTTCCTAAAGGATATCATACAGATATGTAAATAATTGAAATTGAAATTTCTTAATGTGTGAATTGCCAATTGGGTTAGAGCCGTTAATTGCCGTCGAGTTCGACGTTATTCGTTAAAACTTTTAGACACTATATTAATATTTCCTATATTATTAATCTTATCGCCGTGTCAACGGAAAATAGCATAAACATAGAGCAATAAATATATCTGACCTGATTTGGGACCCGTACCATTAATTGTAATGTGTTTAGGTATTTCAGCATTATGGTAACACAGATGATTAGTGATAACGTGTTAAGTTATGAACTCCGAAATTGAATATAAACAGTAAACGCACCTCAAAGAATTCGAATTAATTATTTTTACCTATATTTTGTTCTATTTGAAACTTAAAAAGGAACTCGTTTCAATTAATTTTTTTTTTTAATGATTTAGGAAATACGTAAACTCCTTTTTTTAAAGAATAAGAAACAGAACGAATCAAATATAATTTACATTTCAGGTAGTCTGTCACATTTATTCACACCTCTGGGAACTGTTTTTTCCTCACTTTTGCTAGACCGTCTTGGTCACAAGAAGTGTATGATACTGACAAACATACCATGTCTAGTAGCTCAGATCATATTGTATTTCGCCAAAAATGTAGAAATGCTGTACGCCAGCTCAACCCTGATGGCACTGAGCATAGGGTTTCTGAACGCCCCGAGTCTTGGGTATACCGGTGAAGTGTGCGAGCCGAAACTAAGAGGCACCTTGACTTCGTCAATGAACATATTTTACTATATGGGAACCATAATATTGACTATGATGAACAGTATTACCAAGCAATGGAGATTGACGATGATAGTGTCCACGGTGTTTCCAATTTTCACCATTATTATATTATTTACGGTAATTAGGAACCTACGCAATCGGTATGACCGATGTGCTCAATAAAAATCATCCAAAAATTATAATATGTTGTAGGCACCAGATTCGCCGATGTGGTTATTGGCCAAGGGAAAGCATTCAAAAGCGCATCGAAATCTCCGCAGATTGAGAGGAAAAGCATCGAATGAAAAATGTGAAAATGAATTTCAAGAAATGATTAAATACAATGTGCCTTCTAACAGTGACAAACCTAGTAATATTATTAATTTTCAGCTGTGACATGCGTACCTATATTATTTTGTTGTATATTTTATTAACCAGTTGCTTTAATACTTTCTTACATTTGTATAGATCATAAAAAAAATATAAATGCTTGGAAGCAACTTTTTGCGCCTCAAGTACTAAGACCATTTCGTTTAATGATGCTGTATTTCTTTTTCAAAAATTTATTTTCTGTATTACCAATATTGCCTTATTTAGTTTCAATACTTAAGAAATTTGGCACACCCGTTAACATTGAATGGACAATAGTAAGTTATTTGGCCAAGTAGATTTTGGTTTTTGAGTTGAATACATCACACTTTAAATCGAAAACATTATTCAAATGTGTTGTACTGTTTTTACCGTATTTACTATTTACAGAGGTATTTAATATATTTATCCCCGCTAACGTCAAACTGACAATAGTTAGTTATTTACAAACCAGATTATGGTTTTTGAGTTACATTTTCTGATTTACTAGTAAACGTTATATAAATAATAAATTTCATTATTTTATGGGTTTTTTGAGTTTTTTTTAATTCATTATATTGTATTTTCAGTCATTTTCGATGAGCCTTTGTATAGTGGGAAGTGTCTTGGCAGTTGTTGTAGTACGGACATTAGGCAAACGATTTCTCACGTTATTTTCATTATCGGTTTGCTCCGTTTGCTATATAATTATTGGATTAATCGGTGTTTATTGGACAAATGCGAAACCAATAACCTCTTGGATAGTACTTATACTTTTTCTAACTAATATTTTACTTGGATCGGGTGTATTAACGCCAATCGCATGGACTCTTGTCACCGAAATATTTCCTGCAAAGTGAGTTAAAATGTATATATTTAAAATAAAATGTAGGTATTTCATATTATTAGGTAATACAGTAACGCAAACAATTTTTAAGAAACAACTATTAACAATGTATTTATATACATTATTGAACTTTTAAACTTTTAATATTTTTTTATTTATCTATGAACTTTATTAATTATATGTTGTTAGTTATTTTCCACTCCCATATTAAAGTCGATGAAGATAATTAAATTATTATATTAAAAAGTCTTGACTTGAAAGTGTAAATTGTTTGAAGTTGTAAATTTATTATTTTATGTATTTTGTTCTTTACCAATTTAACTAATACACTTCATGTAATATTTTAATTCATAGAACTATAATTTTAATACAAGTGTTTATGTTTTATAAGAGTATACAAATAATATTACTACTTAAATTCATAATATTTAAATTTAGATAAATAGAATATTTGTCGAAGTAACTTCATGAAAATTTAGAACATGTATTTAGTAGTTATACCTAATTCAAATAATGTTGTTGTCTTAAATTAATTATGTTAGATATTTTCATCTTTAACATTTATTTTTTATTATCAATCATGAAATTGTATTTTTGATTTTGATTTCAGGTGTAAGAATATTGCAAGCAACATTTGTACGGCATTATTTTTTGTGATGACCTTCTTCATGACAAAATATTACCCAGATTATTCAAATTTAGTGGAATTTTATAATGGGTTTACTATAAATGGTATTGTTGGTTTATTTGGCTGTATATATTTCTATTTTTATTTACCAGAAACTGAAAACAAAACCTTACAAGAAATTTCCGAGTTTTTTGAATAGACTTTTACACACAAACATATTTTTTTTCATATGACAATATGTTAATTTTTCAAGACGCAATTCCCATAAAATGTTTGTATTCATCAAAATTGTAAAATTACCTCGTACAATATATTTTATATACCTTTCTTGTTTATTAAGTATAAACTATTATTAAGTAGTTTATAAATAAAAATATATTTTAATGTCAAAGAAATTAAGTAAGTAGCTAGGTGTAAAATGTATTGTGAACCACGGGTATACTAGGACTATAATATAATATTTATATTTTTATTCTATTTATGTAGTTGTGTTGAGCCGGCATTGTCTGTACAAAAATTATTTCTATTAATATTATCTTTAATAAATTTAAAAAAAATTAATTTAAGTGTAAGTTATTATTTAGCTACCTAAAGGGGTTGGTAAAATAAACACACCCAAAGTATCAAGTAATCTGTTTATAATACTTGTATTTAAAAAAGTCAAATTATTTTTAATCTATTATTATATTTATAACAGATAGACAGATATAGTTGGATACATCCATATATATATATATATATTTAAATGTACGTCCAATATTCATCACCTTTCTCAAAAACGTCTTTTTTCAATGCTCACCGTACTCGTGAATACTTTTCGTATTAGCGATTTTGTAAAAGGTGATTACACTCTAAGATAACTCAAAAACATAAAAAAAATGATTCTGTGTAAATGCGTTCCAGAGAGCGTGGGCCAGAGGGAGAAAACTAACAGTGTTCTGACATCCTCTTAACCAAATTATCGATTGTATAGTTTTGTTAATTAATTACTGTGTACTAGAAAATGTACAACCGACTCAATTTATGGAGAACTTAAGGACAAAAAAAAATTTTAAGAATGAGATTAAGAGTAGCCCTGATAATTCACTATAGATTGATATGTACAACAATAGAGACTAAATTTAAAATCTCTATGTTGCATGTTTTAAAATGAGAACCACTGATTTCTTCAATCTACTAGCACCAGAATTTGTAATTTCTGTGACCATCATTTTTAGACTTAAAACTTTTTCAGTGACTATCAACAACAATATATTAATAATTTATTTAACTATTGAATATATTATTGTGCTTATACACATATACTTGAATTCCTAATTAAAAATGTACATAATAGTATATAACTTATTTTATTGTTGGGAGGAGGTTTATTTCACAAGATCATTAAAAAAAAAATTTTAAATCGTATCTATACCTATTTTTGTATATCCTGCAAATAAATATTTTAACGTAGTTTTAAAATTCAATATCAACATTTAATGTTTATTTTAAAGATTTCAATTTAGCTAAAATAAATTAAACGAAGTACCTAATGTAAACGTATCAAATAATTTATTATTTATACCCACTTGAGAAACATTTTATTTATATCATGTTTGCTGTACGTAAACATAATATTTAAGTAAATGTTGAATAAAGGAAAGATAATATCTTAAATATTTGTCTTTACTTTAGAATTTAGATGTATATATTTCATGTATTTTTGTATTTCTAAAACTTTGAACCCGAAAACAACATTTTCTGTTTCAATTAGGTGTGTTTACGTGAGAGGCCGAGTGGGCCTAGCACCCCGGCAGACTGTGCCTCCAACAAAATCACACCAGGATAAATAAAGTCGTAAGGTGTGTACTCTGCACTCTGTAGTACCTATAGATTTTGATTAATTGTAATTGTTTAAGTTACGCATTTATTAATATTAGTGATAATATTATCATATTATAATATTATGTTCATCAATTTTTTCTAACTACTTAACATGGTACTGTTGTGCCCATTTACCTGGTCTTGCGCTGTGATATCACAGATTAAATAATACATTATGTAACCTGTGATAATATGGTTTTATCAGCTGAAAATATCAAATTACTGATTATCATTTCAAAAATGTGTTAAGATATTTTTCACCATTGTGAATTTTGTGACGTAAAAAATGAATGTTTCTTCATGTCTAAAAAAAAATAGATCTCACGATTTAAAAATTTGTTGTGTCCGTTCGGCCACCAAAGTCTGAACACGCCTATGGACTTATTTAGTATTTATTTTGTACAATTTTAAAAGTAAATGAGGCATCAACACTCGAATACCAAAAATATAATTTAAACAATATTAATATGATTTACAAATATAACATTTAAAATATAATAAATATTACGATAAGATTTTACATTCTAAAACACTTAATAATAATTATTGTGAAATAACGTGTACGTGTTATTAAATCAGTGTAAATTGAGTGATTATCACATGCACATAAACTGATGCAATTACACAAAAGAATAAACTCAGTAGGTATACGTTTTTATTTGAAGATAATATTTTCCTATAAATATTCAAAGGACATAAAAATTCCGAAAGCCTTATTATACTATTTATTTAACAGTGTGCATTTTAAACAAATATTATCAATTATTGGTCTATTTATTGTTTTTAGGTGCATACTATTCAAAGAAAAACATCAACTACATTTATGTAAAAGGTAAATATAAATATCATTTCGCCTATGCCATATTTTTTTGGTAATTTATTCTTATTTATTTTAATACCTAACTATTAAACTTCTTTTTTTTAAATGATTAAACAGAAATTTAATTATTATAAGATTTTAACTATCTTTTACTATCTGAATAAATTATTTTGGATTTTACTCAGTAATAACAAACTTAAAAATTTTACCTAGAAAAATGTGTAAGACATATTATTTACCCATAAAAAGTGTTCAAACCATCATTTTACGTATTTATAAATTTAGTTTAGCATAATTATATCGATTTGATTTATTACAGAAATCATTTTAAACATAAAACCAGTGTTTCATATTGTTCTGGAAAAAAATTCTGTATAAAACTATGTTTTGATAATTTTGTTAAAATATATTTTAAGAACTATCTATATTTTTAAAATATAAGGAATAATAGAGAAAATGAAGGGATGTTTCAAATATGTCTATAAACAACGCTTGTTTTACTATACTGCCTTATCACGAAAAAAGAATCTGTTATCAATTATTTAATTTTGATTGGATTATAAGAAAGCCAAAATAGAATTTTTTATATTGATCAACACTTTTTCTGGGTAAAAACATACAAACTTTTGTTTCAAAGATTAAATTGTAAACAATAGATTGAATTTATATGTAGTTAAAAAAGTTAATTGCTTTAAATTTATTTATAATTTTAGTCCATCAGCTATTTTAAATTCTGAATGTACGACGTAAGCATTGATTTAAAAATATGTGTTATTGCCTATTTTTATTTTTATTTGTGACTGTCTACAAGGAAATTAGTAGGAAAAATATTTCAATTTTTGACTTTTTGAAGGTTTTTTTTGGTACCAAAAAGGAGCTATATATAGTTTTGAGAGCTTATAATTGAAGTGTATTGTTTGAAATCATCGAGAAAAACAAAAAACAATTAAAGAAAAAAGACATTATTACACACAACCGGTTTTTGACGAAATCGGTTTTTTTAAGTACTTAAGTTCAAAATGTAGACAAAATTCATCAAAATCAAAATAGTTTAAATATTAATTTGTACAAAATTATAAATTGTTTAATTTTTATAGCTAAGGATTAAAAATGTAAAACAAGTTTTCTCATACGTAGTTCCTGCTGTACCCAAAAACCTTTTTTTTTTCGTTATAACCGACGACGCCGCGGGATCTGCTTTCGCATTGCTTCCGCGGCCCACTGTACCCAAAAACCTAAAAAATATATTAACACAATATTTTTGAAGATATTTTAAGTTCGAATATGGACAAAATTAGATATTTATACGAATACTAAAAATCTTAGTTCTAATGTTAAGATTAAAAAATATTATTCGTGTGTATACTGACATTTTCAAGGTATATTTTTTAATTTTTGTATTTTATACACACAATGACATTTTCAAATACAGTGTTTTCAGTTGATTCAACCTACCATCTTATTTATAGTAAAATAAATTATTTCAATAGCAATAATATTATAAAATATACTAGTTATATAGGCAAACAGACGGTTTCGTCCCAGAATCTCCTTTTTTTTGTACAACGAATTTATATCATTGAATTTAAATAAACAAATTGATTACAGTAATCCACTCGACCACTTCCGTAGTTCCATATATCAGGTGGTACCCACTTTCCCACCTTTTTTATTTAAATTTTGACTTGAATGATTATAGTTTGATTCTTTTTATATACAAATATAAGCATTTCATTAGTTTTTAAATTTTAAATCAATATTAATACAACAATTAATATAAGTTGAATTGAAAAATAATTATTTAGCAAATTAATTCTTAATCCACTTATTTTACTTTACAGGATTTTCTGCAAAATATAACAAGTGAGAAAAGAGATGGAGTCCAATATTAACTATAGATACAGCTTTAAATCCATTTTCGCTCAAGTTAGTTATAACTCAAATATTTGTATAAGATTAGAGAATTAAGTATTAACTACGATGCGAATAATTCATAAATTGAAATTATTATATAATTGTATATTTTTTTCTTATTCATACGGTTATTTATAAGTCTTACAAAAAACTCTTATACTGTTGATGGTGCTTAACGTTCAAATAACTATAATTTATAACTCTTATTTATATCTTACAAAACTTATTTGCTTACAATATCAAATGCATGTCCAATAGGATTATTATACCACTTGTATGACGTTGATCCAACAATATCATACCTATATTCGTATTAAAATTTCAACATTAATCTGTAAGCCTATTTTTTTTTTTTTTTTAATTATGTTGACTATAACCTAACCTATGGGCCATGGTACAAATTTTATTCTGATTTATATTGAAACACTTAATTTGGATTATCGTAACAACTTTCGACTTTGTATCATATGATTTAATGTATTTTCAAGTATCAGAAAAAACAAATTTAAAATTTGGATACATTTGAATAGTGGGTAGCAATAATAATTAAAAAATTATCTGGTCGGTATAAACACTACATGCAAACAGATCAAATTTTTACAAATGACAATATATTTTTTTAAATGTATAGATTGAAAGAAAACTTATGTCATACCCATGGTTATTTCATGTAAGTTACATAATATTAAGATAACACCTTCTAATTAAAAATGTAGAAGATTACATAATATTATTAAGTTTGCTCATATCATGCTGTTTTCCAGGGCGAAACCATGCGGTTCATTGGCCGCAACATAAACTTGCAATAATATCACACAAAATGTAATAATATTTAATTAATCACATAATATAGAGGTCACAGAAATAAATACATACCGCGACTACCGGGTATGCTACACCTAGCACCTACATTGTAGCCGTATTTAAAAAAAAAAAACCATAATAATATTTAAAAACAATGCAT